CACAAACTGTACTACAAGACACGTCGCACCAAGATGACATTTGCTGAAATTGCCGAGTCTGCATTCCAGAAGGGCCCCAAGTGGTGCCGAGGCTTTGCTCCCGTGGCCAAGTTCTCGATATTGTTTGGCCTGTTCCTCACGTACTTCGGCACCTGTTCGGTGTACACCGTGATTGTGGCCAAGAACTTTGAGCAGTTGATTGAGCACTGGACGGGATCCGCTGTATCCTCGCGTCTGCTCATCTGCGCCCTGTTGGTGCCACTGATCCTGATTGCTTGGGTGCCGAATCTCAAATACTTGGCCCCCGTCTCGATGGTTGCCAATGTGTTCATGGGCCTGGGTCTGGGCATTACCTTCTACTATCTGACGCAGGATCTGCCACCCGTCGAGTCGCGCAATTATTTGGTGCTGGGCACCTTGCCGTCCTTCTTCTCCATCACCATCTTTGCAATGGAGGCCATCGGAGTGGTGATGCCGCTGGAGAACAACATGAAGACGCCACAGAATTTCCTCGGACTCTGCGGAGTGCTCAGCCAGGGCATGTCCGGCGTGACACTCATCTACATGCTGTTGGGTTTCCTTGGCTATCTGCGCTACGGTGAGGACACGCAGCAGAGCATCACCTTGAATCTGCCCGTCCATGAGTGGCCCGCCCAGGCGGTGAAAGTTCTGATTGCTTTGGCTGTGTACTGCACATTCGGACTGCAGTTCTATGTGTGCCTGGAGATCGTCTGGGATGGCATCAAGGAGAAGTGCACCAAGCGCCCGATGCTGGTCAACTATGTGCTGCGCACTGTCCTGGTGACAGCTGCCGTTGTCCTGGCCATTTCCGTGCCCACAATCGCGCCCTTCATGGGCCTCATCGGAGCTTTCTGCTTTTCCATTCTGGGACTGATATTCCCCGTAAGTTTAACACGGAAATTACCTAAAAGTTCCCTTGATCAAGCTCCGTTTATGTCATTGTTTTAGGTTCTTATTGAGCTGGTCATCCATTGGGACACTGGATTCGGCAAATACAATTGGATTCTGTGGAAGAACATTGTCATCTGCATCTGCGGAGTTGCAGCACTTGTCTTTGGCTCCCTCGCAGCCATCCGAGACATTATTGCTGTCTACTCCGAAGTGGCACCTCAATAAGTTCGTCACCCGTCAGAGGAGTTGAAGGATTTGAGGAGGATTGAGATGCGCCGAGATATACCAATGGGTATAGGAACGCTTAAGGGAGAACCAAAACAGCGGCAGTGGATCCGCTTCCTAGAGATCATCTAATTATTGTTAGATGTAAAACCAGCGCCCACATTTTGTACATTTTTCGTCTGTTGCTTAGTGTCGTCTGTTGATTATTTCGGGACCTGTGGAAGCGTATCTACAATACACTGAATAAGTGCCTACCTACTACTACTACAACTACACATACACAGCACCAACTATGCCACTATGCCGGTTAAGCACGTTTAGAACACTTGCAATTACATAACATAAAGTAGAGAGTAGAGAGTATACAAACACAACCACCTCCGCCACGTAATCTAAGGTAGTTGATAGGTCTGGAGGCAGGGAAGATGCCACTTTGCATGCATTTAGTACACATCAGAGCGGAGAGCAGGTCGAATTGATTTCAAGTGATCTCTTAAAGTTCCCAAAATGTTTGCAGAATCCTTCTGATAACTGAAAACTGTACTAAATGCACTTGATGAGCAGGCAAACAAAATTTTGAATTGTTTTACGTACGATTTGGTACAGATCTAAAAGTATAAAAAGGAAAAACAAAAAAAGACTTAGGTAGTCCTGCAATCTCTTCAATTAGGGCCCTTTACTCCTTACCAGCCCTCACTCTCTCTCTCTCTATCTCTATCTGTACTACAAGAAGAAAAAGAGTATTACGAAAGCAAGAAACCAAAATTTGAATTCACCTTTCATGTCCCCTCCCCAATTATTTCCTATTTTCCACCGCTTCTTTTACTTTTTTTTTAGCAGAAAAGAAGTGTGTTGCCTACATTAATTTTAGCATGTTTTAGTTTGTAAGAAAAGTAAGAAATACTTTTAGTTAACGAGAAGATAGATGCTTGTGCAAACGGTTCGATCCGCTGCTAAACTACTCAGAGAATATCTATTTTGATACAAAAGCAAGGCAAAGCAAAGCCTGCCCTGGCGCATAACAGTGTGCACACATATGAAACATACATAAAAAATACATAAATAATATTCAATTGCCACGATATTCACTGTACTTGTTGTTGCATACGGTCTTTTTTTTGTATTGTAATTGTAGCTTTAAAAAACATTTACGTTAGCGAGAACCGAAATCCATCGATTGAGTAAAAATAAAAGTTGAAATTCTTTTTTATACAAGTCGGATTTTTTGTCGCATTTAAATTTTTGTAAAGGCAACGAAGCAGATTTATTTGTAAACCATGGACCTAAGTCTGTCAATTGTGTATGTACAATGTGTACACGCAGTTCTAGGTATAAATCTGCACCAATTAAATAGAAAGTATTTAGAGTTGAGACTTGTCCATGTTACATCTTCGGAACAATAAAATTATTAAGATGAAAGTTTACTTTTGGAAGAGTGTTTAAATGATAAAACATTGAATATACAACGTAAATATACACACATACAAAATTAAAATATAAACTAAATGTAAACAGAAAGAAAAGCCTTTGGTTTGACTTTGATAAAATATTCGCATGACCTTCAAATTTTCCTGGCAGCAAGAGAGAGCAACGCAGAGCTGTCCCCTGCGGGTTCAGCGCGTGGCTCTTGTGCGTATCGTTTTGGAATATCCGCTCATACAATGCCCGAAAAACATGCTCAATCAACTTCAATTGCTAATGGTTGAAAAGTCATTTGTTAATTGGTATTGAGTGGACTGAACACTGTGCTCGTAGAGGGGCGAAACGAATTTGATTTGTATTTTGCTGGCCCACAAATTGAATTGCAACGGAATGGCTTCGAATGCCTAATCCCACACACCATGTCCGAAGGCAAGCCAAGCCGGGTTCAAGCGGAGACAGAGAAAGAGCGGAGCATTACAGGCAATTGAACTGGACTGGACTGGCCGTTTGGGCCAATTAGGTAACCTCCGACGCTCCAATGGGCCGGCTCTCAATGCGAAGCATCACTCTTCAGAGACCAACACAGACACAGACGCAGATAGAGCACTCTGTCAGAGATCGTGGTCGTGGTCGTGGTCGTGGTATTGGCTTGTCATCTTTTGTGACAAGATGCAAAATGGAAAGGCATGCCAACGTGGGAATGCGGGGTACGACACTGTCTGCGGCCAGAGAGGGGACGCTGTGCATCCTTGACATCGCATTGGACCATTTGTGATGGGTTCGATGAGATGAGAGCAAGCGAGCGAGCCCCTCCAGGAAGCTCGACTCGGAGCCAATTAGTGGAAGCCAAACACACACAATAGTCGTCGAGTCTACAACGCCTTGTCTGGAGTTGTTTGCCGCGTCCAAGGCTGCCGATGATTTAAAATAATTAATCTATGCCCTGCCATGCTCTTTGCTCTGCTCTGCACTTGGTCTGGCCTCCTCAATGGCTGGAATGATGAGGTTGTTGCATTTTGATTGAGCCAAGGTCTAATTATTTTGACTGATTTTTACACGACTGCAGAAGTTGGTTTACTTTTGATTTTTGTTTCTTTTGTTGCTGTGGTTTCCATTTCGGACCCTTGTAATTTGTAATGTAAAACCTTTTGCCGCGCCGATTGTGCAATCTTTTGGCACTTAAAATTACATGTTTCTTATAGGCTCTTCCTCGTGACCGTTCTTATCGGTTCACCCTATCACTCTCGGATACTTTCTCCAACTTTCGCATAAAGCAATTATTATGGGTCTACTTTTGACACGCTCGCCTCATTCGAATTGTCAAATTTTATGGAATTTATATGCAAGGTGAATATCTAATTTATTTTAAACAGAAGCGTGGGAATGTTACCGACTTCAGGCCAAAATGGTTATCCAATACATTGGATAGTGATCCTCACTGAAAGGCCTACCCTTTCACATAGTCCTCATTCACTTTCACAACACTTTCAAGGCACTGCAGCCAACAAAACCCTTCGGAACACCGAAAAGAAAACAGCGAAAAACCAATTGAGAGCAAAGTGGCAGTGCAAAAGTGGAGAGATATGAAAATTACACAAATATTTACAATAATAACTGAAGAAGCAATCAATAATAATATGAGAAACATTTAAGAAACGTGTTGACTTGGGGGCGCCCAATCAGCAGAGCAGCAACAAAAGAGGCAGCCAAAAACAAAAGGTTCGACAGGCAACCAGCCATTGAATCCAAAAACCATTCACTTTTGAAAAACAAGAAAAAGGTTGACTTCGATCTTTGGAACAATGAAAAATTGCCAAGTGTCCAAGGGGGAGCATTGTAATTGTGTATAACAAAGATGTTTTTGGGCAAACTGTTGTGTAGGTTAAAGTTTCAACAACTAAACGTAGAAACAGAAATACTTTCAAGTCAAGTAGCCCAACCATCTGCAGGGGGGATTTGATCATCCATTGGGATTACATGTTCAGGTGGTGTTGGCGGGGGAATGCATAGATGCAGAGGTCAGGTTCACCAACAAGATTAATTGAGGTAATTTTGGCAAAATGATTTTGCTGCCACTTCCAGTTAAAAGCCGCAAATAAAAATAATCCAAATACCAAATGTGTGTTCGAAACTAAAGTAAAAGCAATGGCAAATCATTCACAGAGTGCCCAGAGAGCTAAAAATCGTTTGTGATGATGCCCAGAAATGAGAGGAATGGCTGATGATAATGATGATCGTGCTAGACGTTTGCAGCAGCAGCCATCACCACCATTGCTGCTGCTGCTGCTGCTGCTTCTGCTGCTGCTGCTGCTGCCGCTGCTGCTTGTGTTGCTGTTGGCAGAGAGGGCACAGCCACAGGCATAGTTATGGGTTTGGGTATGGGCACCCGCCTGATGGAGATCGCTGTTTTGTGCATTTGCATTCATTATGTTTGGCACCGTTGACGCGTCCACAACGCCACCGCACAACGCAAATCGCTCACTGCTCATCGGAGATCTCAGCTCGAAGATCGCTTTTCGGATCTAAACATTCCTTGGAGTTGTTGCTTCAACAGACGCAACCTGATCGGTTCGCTGTCGATCGTTCTTTCTGCTCGTCATTCATTTGTTGTGCTTTGTTGTGTTTGTGTTTTGTTGTGCAATTTATTGTCGAAAAATGCTTCCAATCTGGATTTGTGTACCGAGCTCTTAACGTTTGTCTTCTGTCTGCGCATCGCGTGAGTGGCCTGCTGTCGATCAACTTGACCTTTCTGCGCACTCTGATAGCTCTGAAATTCTTTTCAAATTGTGTCTGCCACCGTATCGTTTCGGAAAAATGCCATCACCATATGTGATCTCTTTGATCACGCTCCTCTGTCTCTGCTTGACTCCAGCGACCATTGCCCAAGACTCGCTGCAGTTTGCGGAACGCAATCATAAGGTGTGTAAATGGAAACCTCCCCCACTCCCCCCCCCTGCTCTTGCCTGACCATAAATAATTCTTGTCACAAAACTCATTTCAAGAAACGCCAAATCTATCGCGAGCAAGTTCTGCCTCATGCTGGTGGCAAAGTGCCTGAAACCGCCTTCGAAACCGATCGCCTCTTTCTGAATCGGCTTCAAAAGGAGGGCATTGCGCTTCCCGATGGCATTGTGCCCGAACAGCGTAGTCCGCAGGTAATATGTCAGCAGAAAGGATATCTATCCATCCACAAATCTGTTCTGTTCTGTTCTGTTCTGTTCTGCTTGAAGGTCTATCAATACTACAACAAACCAACGCGTACCGTGTTCCACATTGCCCTCAGCTCCGATGGAAGGTATACGCCCCGTGAGGGTCGCTACCAGTACCGAAATGTGCCTACCGTGGAGACCACTTATTTGTACCCCCAGGCTGTGGGTCGGCAGCACGTTCTGGTGCCTCCAAAGCATGCTTTACCCGTCTACAGGCAGCTTCAGCTGCACAATCCACTGCTGAATCAAGTTAAATTGCAGCCCAAGAAAAGTGAGTCGAGATTGGGATCATTTCTTCATGACTCTTCATGGCTCATGATTCGATGCTTTTCAGTGCCCAATTTTCTTGACCTGGCACCCACTGTGGGCAAGAGCCACTACTCATCACCAGCGGCCGGATCGGCCAAGGCGCAGTCTTATCAGAATGTAAATCTCCTGCATGGTCATAGTCCAGTGCTGCCCGCGTTCAAAAAGACCGCTAGAGGAAGCAAAACCTACGTGGACAGTTATGGAACAACTCATGTGAGTAGAGACCTACTCTTGGGAACTTGAAATCACTGGCGAAATGATGTAAATTTCTCTTCCATTTTTAGCTCTTCAGCGAGTTTGACGATCTGTTGAACAAATTGGATTTGCATCAGACGGCGCAAAAGATTTATTAGCATTTTAAGATGCTTCCAACTTTAGTAGAATTTCCCAACATACCCATTATCTAACTGCATATCATTTCAAAACATTGGCCATATAAATACTATACACCCACTCCCTTCCATACACCGATGAATGCTTTCCCATTCCTATTATTGCAAGCTATCCAGCACGCCCCCACAAACCTCCCATACCATTATGCTTAGTGTATTATAGAGTGTAAGCCCAAACAAAAAAAATACGAAATGGAAATGAAAATTCATCGTTGTTCGCTAGTTAAGCGTAAACAATTTGTTTCTTGCAAAATAAAGTTAGACGGAGCTGCATATTGTATCCCCATATTGTTCCCAGTCATCAGTCAAACTTATTGCTCGTACGAGTATATCATCATCAGTGGCGCTGTGCTGCCTGCTACCTAACGTTTCGCCGCTTGCTTTTGGACATAATGATAGTGGAGCACAGCACACAAAGCAATTTGCCAATTTGGAGGAAAAAAAAGCTTAAGCAAACAGCTTCTCCCCCGAAACGAAACGAATTGAATCGAAAGTTGCCACGAACAGAAGACCGTTAGCAGTACGAGTGCTCCGTATAAGCGGTACGCTACCCTTGAAAGCTCTTGGCCAAACTCTGAAGTGGTTCGGTTGCCTGGCGGAAAATTGCATTTCAGTTTGATTTTCAAACCCAAGACGGGCGGTTGTTACTCCAAATTCAACTCCAATTCCAGCTAAGAAATCGCAAACAGACCAATTGCTACCAAGATGCTCTCACTCTCGCTGATGCTGATCGTACTGGGTGCCGCTGTGGCCATTGAAGTGCAGGTGAGGATCAACCGCGTGACTGTGGGGGATGCTCTCAAGTGTAATTATGCTGAGGAATCAATTAAGAGAAGCGTGTGCCACCCAATTGACAAAGCTTTTGGACCATGTTATTGCTGTGCTCTGTACTCCGTTCACTTTTGACCCAAAAATCGTAACATAACATGCAATTGAGGGAGGTGGGAGGCTGGACGGCTGGGAAACCGGTCCAAGCACGAGCTTTCTTATGCAATCTCCACATTTGATATGTTTACAGAAATTCGGATATTTGTTTAATCCCCCTCAACCGGAACACCATCAGCGGCACGAGGAGAAACAAGACCTGAACAAGATACCAGGAGTAGCTGGCGTGGATTATCCCATCTACCACGAGGTGCCGCACACTCAATTTAGTTGCCACAATGTGCCCGCCGTACCGGGAATGTATGCAAATGTGGAGACTGGCTGCCAGGCCTACCACGTGTGCCACGATGGTCGCGAAGGACACCAGGGTGCCAAGTTTCTGTGCACAAACGGCACCATTTTTAACCAGAAGGAGTTTGCTTGCGATTGGTGGTACAATGTCAAGTGCGAGGAGGCCCTCAGTCTATATCAGTATGTTTTGCTACATTTATTAAGTTAGATGTTTATTCACTTACCTTTGATACCCGCTTTCAGCTTGAATGCCGATCCGGAGCATAATCCTTACTTTCCGAAAAAGAAGCCCGATCTCGATCATCTGGACCATGATGCTGGAAAGTTTGTGATCCAAGCCTAACACACATTTCACTCTCAACTCACATCATCTCACTTTGTTACACATTTTTCACTTTGTAAATAAAACTGAATAAAACTTAAACTCGTGTTGCTTATTTTGATTTTTACCGTTGCTTCTGTGCAGACCTGTTGAGCTAGTTCATGTTAGCGATGGCACTTCGATGGTGCGCCCTTATGCTGTCAAACGAAAGCATATCCAAATCAAACTGGAGAAATGGTCGAAAGAAAATGGATTATACCCTCACTGCAATTGTACCTACTAAATAAAAATTAAATAACAATTAAGTAAACAGCTTATTAATAGTATACTCTTGTTTGATACTTATCGCACACAAACATCAATATCGATGCTTGGAAAATGTTTTAAAATTTACGGTATCTTTGCGGTATATTTTGGAAATGAGAAGGTATGTTTCGGAAAAACCCGCGGTCACACTGTTTTGAGGCCAAACAACGAGATTTAGATTTTAGAACAATATTTTGGGAAATTGAAACAGATTTGAAAAGATGAACCTACTTGACCTACCACAGACAGTTTTGATGGACATATTCGAGTATCTACCTTATGACGAAGTGGCGAAAAAACGAGAGGTAAGCAATTACAAGAGAAGTGCATTGAATCCGACCCGTGACTAACTCTACTCTGGATGGTTCCAAAACATTCTTCTGCCAGGTTTGCACTCACTTCAATTACACGGGCCAGCAAGTGTTGAACCTGGGATTCACAAAGATTATCTTAGAGCATGCAAAAATATTCAAGCGCATCAAGTCCATGCTGCCGCGTCGCGAATCGGAGCGAAGGTGAGTCAAGGAAGGAGCAGCATCTAGATTATTCTGAATGAATTTGTACTTTTGCAGGAACCACCCCTTGTCACGGCACTCCGACATACTCACGTCCATTGAGACGCGAATATCCATGCTGACGATGACTTATTCGAAGTTTATTGACCTCAATATGTGCTGCTTTATACCAGGACGAGTCCTTGACGAGATTGGTGAGATTTTGAGGCTGCTGCTGACCACATCAAAGCCATTGCGGCCGCACGAGGTGCTACAGGAGCTACGCGATATCTCCTCCATGGCCATTGAGCACTTTGATGAAAAAATTGCCACAGATTTCAAGCAAGAACACAGGAAGCAGCTGGCCGAATCCACGGGGACGCGACTCCTTGTTTGCGGACCCCTGGGGGATATCAGCTTTAGTGGCGTTAAACGGGAATGCCAGCCCGTGGATCATGCCATTGTCCAGCAGGCCATAGTGCAGCTGGCTCCTCTCACTGCCGGCAACCAGCCCACTTCCAATCGTAGTCGCCTCAACCTGCTGCTGCAGAGGCAATACCAGCAGCAAAGGCTGCTCGCGGCTAAGGTACGCAATCTGGAGGCGTCCCGCAAGGCACAGGATCGCCGCTTGCATGAGGCGACGGGCTGCATAACAGAACTGACCACACAGGTGTCCGAGCTGAAGCGTCAGCTGGAGGATGTGGTGGCCAACACGCCCAGTCTGGCTGCCAAACGGCAGGCAGTGACCAGCTCCGATTGCCTGCCCCCGCTTAAGAAACCCAAGGTCTAGCCAAGAGACAAGATCAGCGTAGACTAGCACTCCCTCCCCTCTTAAGTGAACTTAAATGTGTAATGTAGCCCATAACTATAGACAGTGCAGTGCAGCTCTGATATATCGCGTTAAGATTTATTGTTGCACTTGTTACTTAAATATTGTATTATTTACTACTATATAAATACATTGAACATCTAATGAAGTGTTTGTTTTTATCTTTTCTTTTCTCTTAATTCATTCATGAAATTGCCGCTTCGTTTCACTTGTTTTTTGGTTGAATGAAAAGTAATCGTAGTACTGTCTGTATTGTGTGGAGGGCTAGGGCTAGGCTTTTGTCTTTAGTTAAATGTTTCTGCTTCGATTCGTGATAGTAACTTAAGCTTTCGTTAGTTGTGATTCTAGGACTACGCTGGGGGATTGTGTCTGGAGATGCTATGGTAATTAAAGTTAGCTTAATCGTATAAAAGGTAGTATAAATTGCAACATGTTAGCATTATCCATTCTTTGAGGACTGATTCTCCCCGACTTAATCCAAAAGCTAACTACACATACACTAGGGGCTGTCTCTACTATATATACAATAACACAAAAGGTGGGAGCGTAGGGTAGGGGTTAATAACATTTCTCAGGGTTGGGGATAAAGGGGTAACAAAAAAACTACAAATTCAAAATGGAAAACACAAAAAACTCATTGCAGAACTTCTTAAATCGTATATGTATAAACTAGATAAATTGAAAGCATTGCCACACATTGAAATCTAAATGATTTTCTCCTCTCCTCTCTCTCTCTCTCTTATTTTACAGTTAGTAATTGTGTCAGTTAGTGTCTGATTAACTGGGAGATAAATCGTATATGTATATCCGTATTGTGGCGAATCACATGCATATACATCATTTTCTTTCTCGTTTAATAGTCTATGTACAACACAGCGTCTTTTTCTTTCTATTTGCCGCTGGGATATATCTGTATCAATCTGTGGGTGGTAGCGCCGCCAGATTAGTAACGACGCCGACGATGCTACTTTTTCTTTACGGCCGCCTTGTGGTGTATCTTCTCCTGCAGTTGGCGTATCAACTGCTGTATGTCGTCCACGTTGTAGGCGTAAATCAGCTTGCATTGCTTCGCTTGGATGTTGCCATTGTTGAGGTTCTTTAGGGCATGCTGCAGACAGTAGACGTTACCGTCCTCGGTCCGTACCATGGATATGTACAGATTGGCACGACAGAGATCGCATTCACTTTCGATGGACTTGTGCGGCGGCTGTTGTTGCTTCTTAGCCTTTTGGCCCTTTTCCGCCTGCACTTTTTCGGTGGATGTTACGCCAGCAGCCTGCAATTTTAATTTTAAATGAAGAATATTCGAGGAAACTTGCTGGAAATACTCACTCTAAGCTGCTCTCGCGCTGCAGACTCCTTCTCACACACCTCGTTGAGCATGGGCAGCATTTGATGCAGGGTATCGGAGTTGACGCGCTGATCATAGCCCAAAGCAAAGAGCAGCTGCTCCAGCGAGAACATCGCTGGCTCACAGCTCTCATGGATGTCCTGAACAAAGAAATGGGAGACAAAATCGATTAGCATTGTTCGGTGATTGAAATTCCCTTGGAAAGACTTACCCTGAAATCATCTTTGGCCAAATCCAGCCATGACATGGTGGCAAAATAGACACTCTCCGAGACCACATAGCCAGTGGCCAGGCTGGAGGTGTAGGCCCGCGGGAAGACCACAATAAACTCGCCCGGCTTCTGTTCGATGCGGCACAGAGACACTCCGCGATCCGTGAGCATATGCGGCGGCACCATGACCGTATCGCAGGGCAGCCAAATGGTCTTGTTCTGGCAGTGGGTTGGGATCAGCGATGTGAGGGCTGACCTAAAGTTGGCGCTCTGATCGTCGGGTATGCCGTACCACAGCTTGGAGGCACCGGTGTGGAGATATTCAATCCACGATAGACCGTGCGGATCCCGGTACCAGCAGCAGGCCGAGAAGAGCATGCCCACGTGGAGGGTGGGCACGGTGACGCCCATCACGGGACCCAGCGAACGCAGCACCGAGCCAGCATTGTTGGTGAGAACCTTGAGATTCCACGGATGACGGGCATAGTTTGAGCCCTTGCCCTTGGGCCCAGGACTGGGGAAGCCATAGCCCCAGCCGGAGCTATCAATGGAACCCGAATGGACACACACATGACTGTCACGGACGGCGACATGGCGCCAGAACTCGGCCTCCACCTCGTTGACGGTGGGATCGGTGCTCTTGAACCACAGGGCCATGGTGTTCCTGGCGATGCGATAGAACTGACTGAGCGGCATGCTTCTGCCCTTTACAATGCACTCCATGGACACCCCATCGATCTCCTCCTCCGACTCCTCATCCTCGTCACTGCTCAGGTCATCCTCCTCATTCGAGACGCTCTCTGTGTTGACAAATCGATCTGCATTCCGTCTGGCTCTGGCCTCCCGCTTGGCCCAGTCCGCCTCGACCTCGTCGAACAGCTTCTGGCGCTCCGCCGGCGACAGGGTGTCGTAGGGCAACAGGTACTTGCAGTAGATGTCATCCAGCTTGGTCACCCGATCCTGTGCCAGCTTCGGAATGCACATTTCCTCGGCCACCCGAGACCACTTCTTCTTCTCGATGACCTCCTTGAGGCCGCCCAATTCCTGCACGGTGTGATAGAGTCGAGGCAGATCCACCTCCATGCCCCCAATCCAGGGCGGATGATTCATCGTAATGCTCTGGGTGGCCAGGTACTTCTTGATGGCACTCAACTCCTTGGCACTCGGCCCCCATCGATGCAGCATCTTGTGCACGTACTGATTGTACGCAGTGAACCGCATCTCGTCCGATATGCGACACTCTGGCTTGAAGCTGGCTGGTGGAATGATCTTACAGATCCCAAACCTGGCCGCAATCGGTGTGATCCGCTCAATGAACTCAATGGGATCGGCAAACTCCTTCTCCGTCGGACGGAATATGGGTGCCTCCACCATCTGTGTGGGATCATCGTGCCTGGGGAAGGCTGTATTATTGGCCATCTTGATGGGCGTGTCATCCTTGTACTTCTTGGCTACAGCGGCCGCCGTGGAGCTCGTCTGGGCCGCTGTTCGCGACTTGGCGGAGCCCGAGAAGAGCGAAGAATTGGAATTAACGCGCACCAGACTCGAAGGTGCACCCACTGCGCCTGCGACTCCGCTTCCAGCTGCCGCTGAGGTGCTAGCCTTGGGCAGACTCTTCAGGCTGGTTGTGGAGGCGGCATCATTGTTGGATGCCGCATGGAACAGCGTCTTCACCAGCTCGTTCGTGTTCATTGACTCGGGCAGCGGCTTCGAATTGGTGTCCATTTGGGCCTTGGTCACCAGCGTCGCCTGCATCACCACCTTCTGGTTGGGTCCGTCGGGTCCCTCGCGTCCCAGCTTGACGGCCACACCTTGGATGCCGCCGTCGCCACCGCCACCAACACCCGCTCCCTGCAGAGGGATGTAGAAAGTGGCTCCCTCGGGATCCGAATCGCCGCTTGGTTCCACTGCTGCAACTGGCGGAGGTGGAGCCACCTGCTGCTGCTGCTGCTTCTTGGCTGCTCTGCCCGCTCCTGTCTTGGGTTTCGATCCCTCAATCTTGCAGTTCTCGGTGGGACTGAGCGTAAGTTGGACAGCGGTAGCCGCTGCAGCAGCTGCCGCTCGCTTCTTTGTCGGCGATCGCTCGCTCAATGCATTCGGCACTGGTGCTGGAGACGCTGGCGGTGGCGTCGGTGTGGGCTCTACGCGACGTCGATTGCCTGGCTTGGTGCCTGCAGGCGTCTCCTCTTCCTTGCCAAAGGCATAAATAGATTCGCTTCCTCGCTTCGCCGTCACGGGTGCAGCCACAGGTGGCGGCTGTTTCGTCTCCGCCTGCTGTTGGGCCGTGGCTTTGTTGCCCTTCTGGTTGTACACTGGCGTCCGCTTGGGCGTGGGCGGCGTAGGTGGAGGTAGCGGTGCGGGAGACACTGCCGCTGCTGCTGCTGTGGCATTCTTTTTCCCCTTGTTGCCTTTCTGCTGGCTGCTGACAGGCGGCGGCGGTGTTGGTGGCGTGCTCTTGGTGGGTGTCACAGGAGTGGGTGTTGGTGTGGGCGTTGAGGGCGTGTTAGCAGCACTGCGCGGCAGAGGAGGTGCTCGGGATCGAACAGATTCCTTGGTCTTGCGCTCAATCACCGATTTCTTCTCAGTAGCCGGTGGCTTGTCCGCCGTTGCATCCGATTTCTGTGTGAGATTCACGGGCGTCGATGATTTCTCGCAGTCCAGGACATCACAGTCGGCCTGCTCTTGCTCCTTGCGACTGGAGGGCGTCACCACAACGGGCGTGGCCTTTAACGATGGCCCCTTGGCCGACCAGGCGCTCTCGCTCTTGCCCAGATCTCCGGCCCGCGTGTTCTTCGACGAGGATGAGAAGCTGGCGCTCAGCTCCTTTTCATCACGCGTCGGTGGCGGGGTGGTGGACTGCTGCACCCGCATATTGTCATCAAAATCATCGTCCAGATCGTCTTGGAGTATCTCGTCCGGATTGGAGGAGCACTCCATCAGCCACTTCTGGATCTGCTCGTGCGTCATATTCACCTTGGCCTTGCGCCGCTCCTTGCTGGTCAGCTGATCCCCAAAGTACCCCTCGGTGGGCACCACTGGGCCCAGCACGGGCTTGTGTATGGATCCGCACTTGCCCAGCGTGCACTTGGTGTTGTCGGGGCCAGAGCTCTGGGCCAGGCTCACGCTGGCTATGCCAAAGATCTTGCCGGACTCCTCCTTGCTGGGCATCAGCGTGGCCTGCGCCAGAATGCTACCAATCTCATCCTTCAGGGGATCGCCACTGCCCCCTGCATTGCTGTTGCTGTGGGCAGGCGGTGGCGTTGGCGTTGACGTTGGTGCGCCTCCTCCTGCTGCTGCGCTGGCTTGCTGTGCAGCCGCCGCAGACGTTGAGGCCACGGGCGCGGGTGCCGGACTGGGCGTCGGTGCTGTCGCTGTGCTCAAACTGAGACTGGACGTCTGCAACACCACTGGCTGG